CTATATAATATTTTAATATTATCGACATCAATTTTACAATTATTCTCTTCGCAATGAGAGAGCCATGGGAACTGATGGTATTTTAACTGAATGGCCGCTTTGTGCTTCTTCAGTCTTGCTCCTAATATTCGTTTTGTTTCTCCTATATAATAAATTGTACTTGTAATGAAAAAACGTAACTTGTACATAACACCTGAAAAATTTATATTTTGCAATTTAATTTGATTGCCAAACTTTACATTATAATCCACTTCATTCTCTAGCTTTGCATCCAACACTATATCAAAGTTAATAAAATGTTTTTATACAGTCAACTCCACTATAACACTGTTGATAATTTTGTTTTATATGAATTTCATGTTGTACAAGTCACTTAGATTTTACAAATACGTGTTCTGGGGTGTGAACGGCTCACATATTTGTAAAATCTAAGTGACTTGTACAACATGAAATTCATATAAAACAAAATTATCAACAGTGTTATAGTGGAGTTGACTGTATAAAAACATTTTATTAACTTTGATATAGTGTTGGATGCAAAGCTAGAGAATGAAGTGGATTATAATGTAAAGTTTGGCAATCAAATTAAATTGCAAAATATAAATTTTTCAGGTGTTATGTACAATTTACGTTTTTTCATTACAAGTACAATTTATTATATAGGAGAAACAAAACGAATATTAGGAGCAAGACTGAAGAAGCACAAAGCGGCCATTTAGTTAAAATACCATCAGTTCCCATGGCTCTCTCATTGTGAAGAGAATAATTGTAAAATTGATGTCGATAATATTAAAATATTATATAGAGAAAAAGATGTATATTTGCAACAGTTTAAAGAGGTGCATCGTAATAATATAATGTAAAAATCTGCTTAATTTAAATAATGGAATGGAGATTAATCCTGTATGGTATGACATAATACTCAACTATAAAAGAAATTGTAAACATGAAATGGGGGTAAAACAAGTTAAATGACTATTATGTCAGAAGGTTAGCATTTTTGTACCTTATATGTAATTTATATATCAAATAACTTTGTTAATGCAATTTTGTGAATTTATAGCCTTAACATTAAGAGGAATTAAGAGAATTTAATCCAAAATGCATTGCTTATAAAGAAAGAATAAAAATAGCCATGTTTTTAAAGTCTTGGTCTCTGATTTAATATGGATATTGGAAGAGAAAAGATGTGATGTTTTTCACTAGTATTATGTTTTATAACTGAATTTTAACTTAAATTTTTATATATATATATTTTTTAATTGGTTTTATCAATTTTTCGAAAGACTTTTAACCCTAGATAACTAATTATTCGTCCACATGATGACACATCTCTGCTTGAAAGTGAAATTCAGAAACTTTCCCGCACTTCCTGCTGGTCATTCTTTTTCTACCTTAATAATTTGAATAAACAGTGCCATGTGTGATGTATTTGGGTTCACATGTCAATTAGAAATTGACTTATGGCAATCTCGTAGTCCGCTCGATGAAAGTTTAGTTACTACGTAACTTTGTTGCAAAGTCATGTACATTATGTACATTGTTATGGCTGCAAATGAAAACAATTAGTACACGATAAATGCCATTCCCTATTTGGGAAAAGGTACTGATCCTCAGAAACAAATATTGCCTATGTTTTTCATAAAGGAAATAACATCTATTTTACATGAAACAAACTGTAACATTACTATGGATAACAGGTTTACATCTGTATCTTTGGCGGATGAACTATTGAAGCCACCTTATAATTTGACCTTAGTTGGCACTCTTAGAAGTAACGAAAGAGAAATTCCTGAAAAATTAAAAAATTCTAAATCATGCACTACTGGTACTTCAATATTTTGTTATGACGGCAATAAGACATTAGTTTTGTACAAAGCCAAGTCAAATAAAGTTGTTTATGTTTTGTCGACTATTCATGATCAACTTAACATCGATAAAAATACAGGAAAACCACAAATAATACATTTTTATAACAGTACAAAGGGTGCGATAGACACAGTAGATCAAATGTGTTCAAATATGAGACAAAACCAAAAGGTGGTCACTATGCGTGTTTTATAATATGCTAAACCTATTGGCAATAAATAGCTATGCAATCTATGTCTCTAATAACGTCAGAAACAAAAAAAAAAAAAACTGATGTCCCGGTGCAGATGGGACATCGGTTTATGAAGATGGGAGACAAACTCATGGAACCCTGGCTACAACAGCGGTTACAGACAGTGCCTTTGAGGCGTGATATCAGAACCATAATACAGGATATTCTAGGTGATGTGTCCAGTGTAGAAGCTCCTACTCATTCTGCATCGGATCTGCGTAAAATATGCTATTTATGTCTATCGAAAACTCAACAAATGACAAAACACTGTTGCATGAAATGCAAAAATGCATTTTGCAACCCCCATAATGTTAACATATGTAGCAACTGCGTGTAATCTTATTTCCTAAATATTTTATCCTTATTTAGTTCCTATTTATCCATACTATTGTGCCATGTAACAAGTTCTTATTTTTATTAAACAATTTTGTTGATATTAACATTTTTGAATGCATAGTCCATTCAACGAATGTGTAGTTATAATGTAACTGGAATTTAAGTTTAGTTATCTAGGATTAAATAAACAATTTTATTTTTATCAAAATGAGATAAATTTATTCAACAAGGTATCAAATAATTAACCATAATAATAAATGACAATTATATTAAAATATAATCTAATAAAAATAAATATAATTTTACTTTTAAAAACAAGCATGCGAATATAATGTCATAGATTGTAATTATATTAATAGTAAAATCTATTATCTGGTTTAACATTGGAAAATGAATTATAAATATTGTCCATTATATTGGATTAGTAATTCCAAATTATTTTTCTGAAAATCAAATGGTAATGATTATTTTCATTGATTAATTGAGATTAACTAAATAGATAATAAACAGACCTTTTTGCAATTTTGCTATTTACATACAGCAAACATTTTTGGCCTCGTTCAGGGACCAACATCAGGCTTTTTATCAAAGATTTTATAGTGAAACATTTTTCTTTCAAAAAAGTGTTCTAAATTGAGAAGTTCAGCTATAAAATCTTCAACAAAAAGCTTGATGCTGAACCCTGAATGAAGTAGAAAACATTTGCTGTATGTATATAGCAAAATTGCCAGAAACATGCAAAAAGGTCTGTTTATTATTAAATATTATTAGATTTTTAACAAACTATTTTAAATTTATTAAAATTATATCATTGTATCAAAAATATAATAAAAATGTAATCAAAGTAATGATTAAAAACTTTAATTATTGTGTAAGTTTTGATTTAATGAATTTATGAAATATTTAATATTTGAAGTTTAATAAAATTGCTGTTTATGATTACTTGATTTTGAAGAACATTTTTCTATACAAGATTTTCTTAGAACTGAAATAGAGGTAAATTTATAAAATGCATAACAGAGTTCCTTCCTTCCTGTGCAAAAAAATAATTTTTGTTTTACATTATATTATTATTGTAATATTTTTATATTACATGATACTTATTATTTTTATTTTAAAAGCAATCAAATAATTATACAAGGAATAATAATAAAATATATAAAATTCCTTATAAAGGAATAATAAAGTAATATATATTCTATTAAAGTCTTTAGATATTTATTCTTAGTTCAAAACTGAAAAAGATTATCATTTTATTAAAATATTCTTTTTTTAATAATGTTATATATTAAATAAACAGTACCTATTTTTTTTTTTTAAATTAAATGGCTGGATATACATCTATGTGCAATTTATTCAAACTTTATAATATATATAATAATGATTTTTGAAAGTATTTGTGTGTATAAATTATGCTCCTTGATTAATAACAAATAATGAAATTGAGTGCATATGTAAATTGTACATATAAAGTATGTCACTTATATGTATCATCAGTAATGGCTCATGAGACTTTTTAAAGAAGACTGGGCTAATAATATTACACAAATTAATCAGAAAGAATTTCTCAGTTAAGCATTGTAAGATAAAACATTACATATTTTTATGAATAGTTTTAACCAGCATTAAAAATTTGCAAGAGTTTATTTTACTTTAATAAAACAAACCATAAAAATTAATTCATATATTTATTAAAATTAAAATATTTGCATAAATAACTGAAAAAGCTAGGTAATAAAGTGGCTACCATGGTTCGATGGATGAGGCAATAGGCAACTTTCTGAAGCAGTAAAATGAATAGTCAAAAATATTCAAAAGGAGAAAAAATAAATAAAAAATAATAAAGTGAACACAGTGAATATTTGTAAATGCACTTTAAAGTTGTTTATAAATAGTTCATACAAGAGTAGCAACACTAAAAATGCTCTCTATTGGCAATTGTTCTGGAAGCAGGGTTGGCAAAAAATCTGTTTTGCCTAAAATACAAGTTAGCAACAAGCTGGCACTAGTGGTTATCAAAATACAACATTTAAAATGTTATAAAATGTAAACAGATATATTGTAAAGTCTTCATGAAGCATTCTCTGGTACTAAACTAACTTCAGCCTGGCCAGCAACCTATCAGTTGCTCTCCCCAATACTTGTTCTATCTGCATAAACAAGATGATGTATTGTTTGCTTTCATCTAATGCTAAAAGTCTGCCACAGAGGTTTGGATTTAAAGCATGTACATTCTTCAAAAGAATAAACTATTATCTAAATAAAACTTTTAGTTCAGATTAAGTTTTTCTCAAAGTTTCTGGAAGAGCTGCAGCTCTGTAGTTTCTACAGCTAAACCATTACTGATATATCATTAGTTTTTAATTAATAGATTTCATTATTAGTTATTAATCAAGTACAATTTCCAATACTATCAAAAAGTTTGTCTTATCAAAACAAATATTTAATACTAAAATTTTTCTGTAGGTTGTAAACATACAGAAAAATAAATAGTCTTTCCTTTGTCTATTGTTTGTGATTAAAATTTTCATATAATAAGAGTAAATAAAATTTCACTCACCACTCACTTTTTTATTAATAATTTTTTATTTGTTAGCTTTTAAATTGAATGATCCAAGCTAAAACGTATGGCATATTATATAAAACACTGTTGAAAAACAATGAAATCCAGTTTTATGGAATGAGGGAAAATGTCAATACTGTTCTCAAATGGTAGGTGCTTTTTCCCTTATTATTTCCCTTCCAACACAGATTGAGGTATAAAGAAAACATGATTCAGTGGTTTGCATAACTATTTTACATAGTTTGTAAAAAAAAAAGCACTATAATAAAACAGAATGAAGAGATCTGTTATTGGTATAGCAGATTACAGGATTACTATTCAGCACTGTTTCACAGTGACAGATTTAACTGTCCAGCTTTTGACAACTAGAAATGCACAAATTTTAAAGGGAAATATGCAAAGTATGCTTGTACACAAACAAGCAAGAACATAAGTCTTATTTCCCAGTTCTGTCAATTGTTACAATTCTGTGCAACATGGTAAACCAGTACATAATTTATTTTGAAGAACAATCTCACGTTTTGCAAGTTATATTCAACACAATGTCAGTTATCAGAAAGGAGCATCTCTTCTGTTTTGAATGCTTTCTTTATTCAACTAGCACATACTTCTGAATAATAATAATCTCTTATGTTTTTGCTTAATTTTATTTGATGCATTGCATTATTCAATAATTTTCAAATTCCTTAGTGTATAATACATCCAATTTCTTCAAAGGAGAATCTTCACTTTGCATGAAATTATCATGCTCTCTCATTCACACACTTGCATACACATATATTCACATACATGCACAAACATACATTCATGCATACACAATTTATACAATTTGTGGGCATAGCTAACAACTCAGCTGTCTTGGCCCAAAGTCAAATGCTGCTCTTCCATCATGTGAGGTTTTAAGATAACATTTTTTACATAAAAAAAATTACATTTCACAAATTACAGCTGCTCTCTTTTTTTAAGAAAAATATTTTAACAATTTAACTGTTTTGAAACAAATAACAGTGTCAAAATACATAAATTGTGCAACTTAGCATTTTTTTTCTAACTTGCTAAAAAGCAATGTCATTTATTATGTCAATTAATTATTTGTAATAATAATCAACAACAGTAGTGTTAGATGACGATGATGATAATATAATAAATTTTAATAATAATAAAATTATATAACAACAACAAACTGTACTTTATTATATACTAGTTATATTTCAACTAAGTTCAGGATAAATTATATCTTAAAGAAATAATTAAGTACAGTTTTCTCACTTTATTTTCTTCCTAAGCAGAGATAAAACAGGCAAAAATTAAATTCTCAACATGACTGTAAGTTGGAGAAGAGATAGTAACAAATCCTATAAAATAATATGAACAATTTTATCATCTTTATATCATAATAATTAAACTTTCTTAAATATAATATTCTCCTTTAAATATTTTAAATATAACTTTATTGGTGAAATAAAACATATCATTGACACAAAATACATATTATACTAAATATAATAGTTTATCATCATCTTTAACAGTCCTCACACTGAAAATGCATTTAAATTGGAATTGTTTTCTTCTTTTGTAAATTCTTAAAAGTATAGTTTGATTGATGTTGATAAAAAAAAGTAAAAATGATGATCATTAATATATTAACCACATTTACATGTAATGACTAGGTAGAGAACTGAAGATTGCAGCTACATTTTCTGCAACTTTCAAATTGAGATGCTGATATGCTGAGGTGTCAATCACATCCATTTCACTGCCCATGAAAATATTCACACTAATATCCAGCATCTTTGACTTATGTTTCAATGGGTGGATTATTAGTATATTCCTTCAGGGCATTTGTCAAACCCGTTAGTTTCTTGAACAATTCTTCTTTGGCAAAATTGTAATTAATTCTGTTGAAAGTAAAATAGGAAAATATCCATCATGAAATGAATGAAATGAAAAAGGCTATTTGGCACAAACGATTTTAGCATTATCATTTCTTAGAAATGCTTCTCAATTTTACAAAATTGTTATATATAACAAAATAATGCAACTCCAACACACTGTCATGTTGAAACTATATGCCAGATTTACATGTAAAACATACATATATACAATGATATGCATGTATAAAAAAGAAAAAAAGGGGAAAGAGAAAAAGAGGAAGAAATAGATTGCCATCTCTGTTTGTTTAGCAAAAGTCACCTTCACCATGAAAAAAGTGATGCATTGGAGAGCAGATGATATACTTGTGCTTCATCTGATAAAGATGTGGTACAAGCAATTTTGTCATAGTTTTCACTCTCCTAATTTGTAGTAAATAGTCTTTTATTGACAACATAGAAATCTGTGATGAATAATGTAATTGTTGACAAGGTCTGCAAAAAATGCATGAAAATTTCTTCCTACACAAGATTGTATTCCTTCAAATTTAGTTGAAGTATAGTATCCTTTACTGCAGCAAATACAAATCTGATATTTTCTGTGTCTGTAAGAAAACAAAAAAAAAAATCATCATTAATTCAAAACTTTTTTCTCATTAACTTATTTAGAACTCATTTTCTGATTATAAAATATAAGAATTTAAGAATAATGCTTAGTTCAACAATAAAAACACAAATAAATCATGAACTTAAAAGTTGGAATAATAATAACATATTCAAAAACAATTATGTTTTACATCAAATTATACTTACAATAATAAGAGAGCAGCAGTAACTAGGAAAATATTAATTTAGATTTTCGTATAAACCTAATATCTGATATGATTTAAAATAAAGCTTTGTTGTCATTACAATCAAATTATTGTTTGTATACATTAAATATAATGTTTTGCTTTTTACATAATATGAAATTATATCTACTTATTAACTTTGTAAGATTTTTAGGATATAATATTTAATAAAAATAAATTGAGATTTCCTGTGATATTANATATGTATATATAATTTATAAATAATTGTATAATATTCTCATTTAAATAGGTGTAGTTTCTCCTCATCTACTTTAAACAAAAATTGGTGAATAAAGTTTTTTCACTGTGGACCTACTGTATATTAATGGAAGACAGTGGCAATAAAAACAATTTTCTTTTTTTTTTTTCAGCCATGAATACATTTTAGAGAATAGTTTCAAGTGAAATTATATATAAAAAGGCACTATATTGTTAGGCTTTTTTTTTGTCTCATTATAATAATCTATCTGAAATTTTTACAATGATATAAAGAAAGATTTTTCTTTTTTCAAACATTAAAAAAATTAAAAAAGTTATAAATGGATGCCACTGAAATAATTTGAGGAATGTGTGTATATATAAATATAAAATTAGTTATAATATAAACAAAATTTGTATATAAAATGCCAAATATTTACACATTCAAAAACCATCTCCAAAGCTTTCTGAGAAGTATTTCTTTTGCGGATATTTTCTTGAGATGATATAATTCAATACACGACACGATACAATCTATTCCGAAAATTGTTGAATGCTGCAGAATTCACTTTGAGCTATAAAATATTAAATTGCCTGGAAATGATGAGATCTCACTGGCAAAGCACTCAAATATATCTATTAACAAAATGTGAACATTTAGAATATTTGATGGTGGTGGTGGTGGTTGACGGTGATGATGATGATGATGATGATGATGATATCTTCAGTAAATCTGAACATGTTTTCTTTTTTTAAAGAATGACTTATAAGGAACTTGACAAGGCTTATATAAGTGTGACAATATGCCACATGGAAGGAATGGGATCCTGCTGCCTTTTAACAGACAACAAATAATGATTTTATATATCAGCACCTATGTTCACTGTGCAATTTGAAATTGTCAACAAAAAATAAAAATAATAGTAATGATTATGATTTTATGAAAGTGAATAATTACTGCATAACACTATGTTTTTGAAGTATTTACAGATTTTACTAGGCAAATGAATTGTTGCAAAGATAAATCAGTTAAAAGGTTTATTTTTACAAGTTCAGACTAGTGCCAATTATACATTGATTCTACCCATCATTTATCAAAATAAACTGTACTATTATGATGTTCTGAAGGTCAACAACTTCCTATTAGTAATAAACAACGCTTTTTGCCCACGACTATAAATTAGATAACCTAATAAATAGGGTATAACAATTTGCAGGGCTTATCACACCAAGGCCGACAGAAAGAAGCACTAGAACTTTTATAAAAAAAAAAAAAGGGTTGGTCTTTAATAATCACATTTCAAATTTAGGTAAGTATGCATTTCGGGTACAAGGACCCCTCATCAACTTACAAACACATGGTGTTATGTTGTTACCATGTGTAACATCAGGAAACTGGCAGAAGATCTAATTAACTCCGAGGATGACTGACCTTTTACGATCAAAGAAGTTGAGAAGGAATTCCAAAATATCAACAAGAGGAAAGCTCCTGGCCCTGACCGCATCACCGGTCTAATGGCCAGCAATGCCTTCAGAGCTATCCCCATGGTCTTTTGGGTTCTTTTTAACAAATGCCTGGCCATTGGCCACTTTCCTGAAAGGTGGCTTCCATTAAACTTATTGAGAAGCCCACCAACTCAGCTACCTCCTTTTCTCAGGACTTCAAGCCTATTTCCCTCCTGTCCACCCTGGGAAAGATTCTGGATGCCTTGATGGCAAAGAGGATCGGCTAACACCTCGACCATGACAACTACTTAAATAACCTCCAAAGGGCAAAGCATGGTGGAGGCCCTCCACAACATCACTGACTACATCACAGAGGCCAAGGTTCACAACCTACATATCCTAATGGTATCGGCAGATTTTCGTGGTCTTTTAACCATGCATGGTGGCCTGCCATTTTGCACAACCTGCAGACCTACAATTGCTCCAACAACCAGTATAGGATCCTCTCCAGCTACCTCCCTAATCGAACTGCTGTTGTCAAACATAACAACCATCTGTTGCACCATATGACTATCAACAGGGGGTGCCCACAGGGCTCCAGGTCTGGCCGTTGGTCTGGAATGTCCTCTACAACACCATTTTCTGCCTATCCAAAGAGGCTCCAGCAGACTTCTGGATGACTATTCAGGGGTACGCCGATGACACCATCATTTTAATGGTTCATCCCAATCAGGAGGTGCTTCAGACTCAGATGAATAACTTCCTCAAAGAGCTCTCTAACTGGTATAACAAAAATAAGCTCATCATTAATACTGCCAAGAGTAGCTGTATAGTTTTTCCCAGGAGAAACCCCCTGGCTAAGAAACCAACTATAAAAATTGAGGATGAGAGGATCAAGTACGTCAGTTCTATGAAGTATTTAGGTGTGATCCTGGACAAAAAACTTAATTGGACCCCACACATTCAGTATGTTCGTGACAAGGCCCTTCTTGCTATGCACGCCCTTCGTTCCATCTCCTGGAACACCTGGAACCTAAGCCCTAAGGCTACAAAGATCTTATATGAAGATGCCATCACCCCAATCATCACCTATGGCTGTGAGGTCTGGGGCAAGGCAACCATGAGGGTGCATGCGAGGAGGAAGCTGCTGGCTGTGCAAAGACAAGCTGCTCTGGCTGTGGCGAAGGGGTACAGGACCATTTCCACCGAAGTCCTTCTGATTATCGCAGGGCTAACACCAATTGACCTGGCCATCAAAAGGAGATATTCTGGCAATTCCATTTGCTCAGAAGTCAGCAGGGCAACACTACCTACAAGTCCTTCCAGCCCAGTGAGCTACCCGCCCCATCTTTGACCTTTGGGAGAAGGTTTTCAAGCTGGGGGTTGATTGGGTCCTCTGCATAACCCTGTTCATCCAGCAGACCTTCCTAATGTGAACTGCTATCTAGAGGGTGATAGGGCCCCTCATGGCTTTAATATCTACACTAACGGGTCTAGAAATCTGTCAGGGACCAGGTGTGCTGTAGTAGTGATGGATGAGGGTAGGCGCTTCTTCTATCAAGGGAGGTTCTCTTTGGCTGCTCACTGCAGTGTCAACCAGGCAGAATTCCTAGCGATCCTCAAGGCCCTTAAACTCGTTGAAGAGAAGGGCCTCACAAACATTTTGAGCTGCTTCAATATTATTTCAGATAGTAGGGTGGCCCTCCTACAGCTTAAAAGCATGAATATCTGCCTCCCTATCATCAGGGACTCGCTTAATACCATCTCCAGTATTGGACCCAATACTCTTCTTGAATTTCACTGGGTTAGGGGTCATAGCGGCAACAAGGGCAATAATAGGGCAGACTGTCTGACAAAGAAGGCTGCCTCTGAGAAGGGTAACCCTTCTTACAACTGCATCCCTCCATCCTGGGTATATCATCGTATATTTAATACCCTTAACAGCATGTGGCAAGACCACTGGGACTCGTGTGGCAAGACTCACGTACAAATTCCTTCCGGAGGTGACCTTGCCCCACACTTTATCCCCAGCTCATCACTGGGCATGGTTCGGGTCTTATTTTGTCCTGTTCCTAAAGCAGGATGGAGGCACTTGCCCTTGTGACAACTTCACCCTAGAGGAACCTTTCCACATTATCTTTGACATTATCAGATCCGCAGAGATCTGATCACTTCTATCATCAGGGAACAAATTGCCTGGCCCTGTCTCAAATCCCTACTCAACAACAAGAGTATCTTCATGGCATTTGTCAGATTTTCAATAAAAGCCATGAGAAAAGTGTGGCAAGACCAGCAAAAAAAGAACATTACCCAACAAGCATTATGTTAATACTTAGACAACTCTTGCATGGACTGCATATACATATTGTTCTACTATTAGTTATTACAGTGTACTGTTATCATATGTGGTCAGTTTATTTTCTACACATTCTTATTCCTGCCCAATGTATAGCATTATGTGTGGACGGGCAGCCATACTAGTGGCAATTCGTAGCTAAATCAGGAATTTTGTATTATTGTAGTAATTGTGAATACGCACTCCTAACTATGTACTCAGTACTTTGCCATTGGTCTCAAGGACAATGTATTTTGTATTCTATTTTGTCTATCAAACTGTATGGGCATGCACGTTTGAGCTCTCCTCTCTTCTTCCTTCCTTCCTTCCCCCCTCTTCCCCTTTCTCCTTCCCACTTCCTTCCATGGCTATACTGAAGGGTAATGGCCACTTATTCTTTCCTCCATATATATATACTTTCTGCCAGAACATAAAATGAATATAACCAAAATTTCATCTCAACTGGACAAAAATTGCAGAAGTTATAAGGAACTCACACCTATACAGACAATAGCTTTTATATTATTAATGTAATAGCACACTGACAATAGCAAGGAGGTATGCAATTGGAGAGGGGTGAATGACTCATGCTTAAATTCCATCAATCATCAGATCTTCAATTGGCTTGCTCAGTACAGCTGAGCAATAAGTTAAAAATACAAATAGCCCTCGGTTTACGCCGCAGTTCCGTTCCTACAAAAGCTGGCGCAANTAATCTTATTTCCTAAATATTTTATCCTTATTTAGTTCCTATTTATCCATACTATTGTGCCAT